CAGCCACTATATATTTTACGCATTCCTACACGCATTTTTATCGCTAATAAAAGGGTACCTAGCGTTTAATCGCTTATAAAATTTATCGTAAACATTATTTGGTCATTGCTACTGAGTTGCTGGGATTTTCCCATGGAAAGTGGCATAACGATTTTGACATCTTTTTTTGACGTCTAGTCTGGTAATCTTTATAAGAGAAATTTGTATCCTTGGCCTTTGCACGACTTAGTTTGAGTTATATACTACAAAAATAGATTTAAAATGTAGGTATGTCGTTTTCGTGTAATTCTGAACATGAGTGAAACAGGAGTCCGGATCGTCCTGTAAATTCCACAGGCGTCGGCATGATGATCTAGTGGCAAGGATACTCGGCTTGCAAACCGGGGGGAGCTCAGGTTCGATTCTTTTCAAGAAAAGTTTATTTAAATATTTTTTTCACTAAAATGCGTATACCAATTCAGCACACTTGGGCATTAGGTTTTTTGTAGGTTCAAGATTGTCTTCCCAAATATTTATGTAAAGCAAAGTTGTACAAAAATGCTGCGTAATTTTCCGAAAGGATAACTCGTCTGCTATTTACGAATATTCGGCCGGATCATGAGTTATATACGTACCACGCATAATTCAATAAGGAATGATCAACAAATTTGGATTCAAGGAAGTCCGTGGAAATTTTAGGTCACGTCCAATATGCATTAAGATGACAGCTCTCGTTCCAAGGTGTGTTGTGTTTTTTTTTTGGAATCTAGATACCATGGATTATGTATGACGCATTGTGATTGCTGAAATGTATAATTAGTTAAGCAATTGGTAATTTTATACATGGTTGCTACTGACAATAAATACATAAATAAATAGATAAATAAATATGTAAACAACTAAATAAATAAATAAGTGAATAAATGAATAAGTATGTAAATCTCTGAAGTGCAGTCTATGTGCCATAAAAAGGAAGTTACTAACCGCGATAAGAAAAAGATACCCACTTACTTAAAAATACACATTTATATTTGAATCTCCTATAGAGTCTGACTTATGCGTTGGTTTAAAGGAAAAATCCAATACTATATACTACGTAAAGTATGTAAGGGTTGATGACAAATATCCTAAACGAAGTAACTTATGTTTATATTCGATATCCACAAGAAGTATTTTATTACGTTTATGAAATAAAAGACGAGATTTCTCTCCAACCGATTTATTACAAGATAAGCCGATTAACTCTTTTCTGATTACGATTGAGACTAAATTAAAACACGCACTTTTGATCCTGACCTAGACGGATTTTTACGTTTCCCTATTTTAAATGATACCGGCAAAGACCGTTAAAAATCTCTTATCAGTATAGTTCTAATTAAATTACCCTTAAGAAAAAATACAGAATACTGTATTATATCTTAGCCTTTAATATCGAGGGTCGTGAATGGGTCCTTTGCTAACTACTTCATTCTGTTTCTTAACTGTTATTTATTACCTTTACTAACAATCTTTATTAATTGATTTTAGCAGACCAGTATCATAATTTATTAGTTAATCAAGAGAATTCGTGGGGTCTTGAAACAGTAAACTTTTAAAGTCTAATGATCAAGTTGGTTTACGATTATTTTATCGCCGCAATCTTTTTCTGATTCTCGCAAGGACAATTTCATTATTATCTAACGTCCACTGCCTTAACCGTAATGTAGCGATTTCTTCTAAATTCAGGGCACATAATAATAAAACCTTAGTATTCGAAATCCTTGCTAATATTCTTAGTATATCAATTAATAGATTGCTTTTCCGTTGATTTGATTGGTATTGGGAAACTAGCGAAAATACGCCAAATGGTGGAAAACCCTGTGACATGAGTTTAGATGACTGCTTTTTCTAAAAAAAAAAAGTTACTGACATGGTATGTGGTTCGTATTTGTCTTGATGAAATACGACACTTAAAAATACAGTACTTGAAATTAAACCCTAAGAAGATTTACCTTCAAATTCTCTTTCGAACACAAAAAATTAGCATACCTCAAATTTATAGGAGTGTGATTTAGAAAACAGTAACTGTATGAGAACGGTTGGAAATAAATTGTTTCGACCTTCTAATGGCAGCGATCTAGAACAAAAGATAACATTGTGATTAAGCAATTCGCGGCTACTTACGTAGTTAAATCGTATTTCGATCTAAAACCAATTCGAGAATCACACAAACAACGGTCAATGGCCAGAAATAATTTTTCGTCATCCCATACTGTTATTTCAATTTAACTCAACTCATTTGACAAATGAAATATCATTCATAACGGACGGCGTCCGTTAAAAAATAACGGACGCATATGCGGCCGTTAAGAAATAATGCTTTTATTGAAATACAAACAACTACTTATTATAATGAATATGAAAATTAAAGTGACAGTTATTATTGCTAGAAATCTGTAGTCCATCGTAGGAAAATTGAGGACCACTATCACCTGTTGATGTTACACTTGATGAAGAAGCTGTGGCTATGGATGTTGTAATTTCAGAGTTTCCATTGGACCTTTGAAATAGTTGTTTTGTGATTTTTAATCGCTTCGAAACAGAATTTTCAATATACGACTCCGCTACCGCAGATGAATCCCAGCCTCCAAGTTCCTTCACTGTTAGGAGATCGCCACCATTTTCTGCAAGCATGGTAGCGGATGACCTCCGAAACGAATGGCCCGTGTATAACGGACTTGGTTGAATATAAACCTCGGCTGACGCCTCGGTTTACAAACTTCAACCACGTCCGTTATTTGCTACATATCGGCCTTATGACGTTAATAACTATATAAAGATGTAATTAGTAGACCAGCATGGAATTATTAAACCGCACTGCATCGTCTAAATGAAGAACCCAACAATTCTAATTCGCCACGACGAAATGCTAAACAATGTACAAAAATACAGTGGTCCTCGAACAATAGTTACAGTGATACTCAACCAAAAATAATTCATATGTATTTGCAAAAATAAAATTGTTACAACCCATACTTAACGTTCTACATTATTACATTAAGAAGGAATAAAGTAAACGTTCTATTGCACGACCAACTACCAGTTGTATGCAGCCTATATACATCTGTACAATATGGTGTAATCTGAGTTTTAAATATGTTCTGTCCATACACTCACTCCAATCCGATTTCTAGTACTTTTTGGGCAACGCAGTCCTCCACAAAACCATCCGGATTTTTTTATTTGAATGAAATATACTAAAACTGGTATTTAATAGACTGTAGTGAATAAATTAAATACCGTGCAAATAATAAATTTTGTAATTAATTAGTCAGGATTTACCTCAGTAACCACTCGTTCTACAGTTTCCAAGAAGAATCTAAAAAAGCATTGTTTCGTGTTTAATTTGTCAACCACGGGTTTTGATGGTCATAACTCAAACGACACCTTGGTCGTTACGTACCTAATACTTCGATGTTTCGCCCTACCCTTGCAGTGGTTGTGTTATTGTCTTTATGTACGACTACAACGATTCCAAGTTCGATGTCTTCCTTTCCGGTTTTCCATTTTGAACGCTGACCTTTGCGATTGACCTAAACATTCAAGTCAAAAGGAGTATAAGTGGGCTTATGATTTAGACCGCCTGTGTAGCTCAGTGGTAGAGCGTTGGGCTACATAACCGGGAGATCGGGTGTTCGAACCTGGGATGAGGTAAGCATTTTTCATCTGTGGCAGAGATGATAATTTCATTAGATCAGTTTCGAGCTTTCTGCCGGCTACTCCGGATTGGGTTTTCCTGCAGTTTTCTAATTCGTAAGGTAAATATCCCGGAGTACTACAGAACCTTCTGCAAGGGCACTTCTAAAAAGCATTCTGTCAACTTTGTATTTGGGCGAAAACCTGTTGAGGGCCCAGAACAAAGGGGGACAATAAATAAATAAACAAAATAAATTTAGAAATTTCAACCCGGTCAATTAAGTGACTATAATTAACCGGTGTTAATTATTATTTGTGTTACAGCAAACGTCATCAAAATGGATCATGTTCAGTGTCAAATGAACCGCGGTTAATTAACTTAAATTTTAAGACTAGTCCCAGATTTCTATGATAACAGGAAAGTGTGAAATTAATTAAAGAAAGTTTAATTTTTGAGCGTTATTATAAGAGTACGTCGATCTGGTTAATATTCGATGTTCCCTTTCCGCATTTTGGGAATTCTATATAAGGTAACATAATGATTTTTAAGGCATCTGTTGCGTTTTTCGCTTTTGAATTCATGCACTTAGTCACATTTAGTTTATAACATTTTACGATACCGCAGCGTTCAAATTCAGGGTGAGCTTGATATTTTTGTTTTCGTTAATTATAAAGGGGATTAGTTTTCCTTTGTTTCGCTTGCTGGTAGCTAATAGATACCGTTAATGGTTTGTGCTTCGTTTCCTCTTGGGAAAACGACTGCCGTTTTCGTGTGCCGTAATTTTGTTTTAGCTTCTTCGCCAGTAACCGACCTTCCGAACTCTGGAATTGACCGTGTGCCTCCACCTAATTTACTTGTGGTTTCCGAAATGTCCGACACCGTAACGGACCGTCCTTGCCCAGGAACAACGATCGACAAACTCCTGATGCCGCTTGAGATTTCGTACCGTTCCGCCAACACTACCGTTCCAGTGGTGGGTTTATACGGGTCTAGGACACTACGCCGAATGCCCACATCGCCGACCCGATTTTTGGATGGTCCATATCGCCGACTAGGGACACTACGCCGATGGACACTACGCCGACAATGCCCACATCGCCGACAAGTGGACAAGGGACACAACGCCGACCATGCCCACATCGCCGACAAGTGTACAAGGGACACAACGCCGACCATGCCCACTTCGCCGACAAGTGTATAAGGGACACTACGCCGACCATGCCCACATCGCCGACAAGTGTGCAAGGGACACTAGACCGAACGTGCCCACAACGCCGACTATTCGCAAAAAAAATTACTAGGGGACAATACGCCGACAGCGACCACATCGTCGACAATGGAGAAGTTTCCAGCTTGTTGTTATAAATTAATTATGAAAATTTAAGTAAAATGAAACAAAAATGTGATAGAATCAATAAAATTACTCCACAAATCCCAAAGTTACAAGACTAAAGTTGCGATTGGAATAATAATTTCGGGACGTCACTTCACCTAGTTTGCTAAGAGCATGTCTTGAGCATGCGATCAAAAAAGAGTGGTATCGCCTATGAATCGCCTTTAAAAATTTTTGTTTATATGGGAAATCGTATTTCCTGGAATTACGTAAAATGACGTCACCGACACTGCCGTTCCGCGCTGAATACCTAAACTTAAATAATATATTTTTGTCATTTATTTCCGGATTTTGAAATTTCTTTTACTGGTTTATTAGTTTTGATCTATATTTTGATGTCATTAGGCTTAATATAGTAATATCAATTGTCCCTATTTGATAGTTGCTGTGTTTTGATAAACTGAAATTCGTAAATCTTTACACCGGAAGTACCTATAGAAGAATTTATCGCGTTTTTTTTAATTTGAAAAAAAAAGGTAGGTTGAACGGTAAAATATCGCGATTCTTAAATTTCACATTTAGTCAAACAAAGCGAACAATAACTAGGGCTGATTGTATAAAGGCTGGTTGAACTTCGCTTGTAGTTAACAACTGGATTAAGGTAAAGAATGGTTAAAATTTGACGTTTTGTCAAACTTCAACCAATTAGGTATCTTAACCCATTGATATAATCCAAACGAGGTTTAATCTACTTTATACAACCGACCCTTATGCCCGTCAAGAATCAAGACGGGATTCATGAAACTAGATTAGCAAATACGATCTTAAATAAACAACCAGTTATAATCGATCATTTGCGCATGAATCTACCATTATATCAACTATTGGTGACGTTTTCTGTCAATCCCAGAAATAATCTTCGATCTCGTATCAATCTACGAGTTAGTACGGGCATTAGTGTCCGCTTTACTAACAATGACACTTACTAAAAATCTTATATTGCTTGGCCACCTTGGATTATAAGGTAAGGTGTATCCCATTCTGGTACATTTAATCAATGATTAACTGTGACCATCGTTTATGTAATTGAGTAACGATTTATTTTTAATGTTTAATGTGTACAAAATATGCTAAACAAGATTAGTTCATATTTTATGAATTTAATGTTCATAAGCACATATTTTAATAAATGAATTACTTTTTACTCCATATTCACATCTTCCCATAGTGGAATACATCCGTTTTTTCTCATAAACTATATTTTTATTTCAATTTGCTACCTAGGTGTAAATATTTTAAGCGTTTTTACTGCACTTACATTGGTATCGTGTTATCAAAAACTGTCAAATCACCGAAATTATCGAGATAAACACAAATTCAAAGGGTGGCACGGTGGTAGAATTCATTATTTTTATTCTTCGCCAATGCAAGTTATTTCAGTGCGTATAAAACTAAAGTGTGTAACTTTGTTTCACTGGCGTTTCGTCACATTATCTGACGTCATGTCATAGCAAAATTAAAGCAGGTCGTAAATTAGTACCTATTTATGAATAATTTGCTACCCCCACAAACAGTAATACACATTTACCTTGTTTGTACTAAAAGAAATTCTTTCTTGGTTTAAAATGCAGAAGTTAGTAATTACCGTAGTAGGTATAAGTTCCTATCTACAGAAAAAGGTCAAAAATCTCACTACCTGTAAACAATATTTTACTAAGAGCGGCACCTTCTTTGAACATTAATCCGCAATCCTGTATTTACCTATGATCCTAATACAGATTTTTCTAAGAAAAACCTTCAATTACCTATGCAGATGTTGGGACAACATGTTGATAAAGTCACGATAGAATATACATAATGGGAATACAGAGACCGACAGCATTTGTTAAAATATGTGCTTATGTTAATATTAAATTCATAAAATATGAACTAATCTTGTTTAGCATATTCTGTACACATTAAACAATAAAAATAAATCTTTATTATATAAACGATGGTCAAAGTTAATCATTGATTAGCACCAGAATGGAATTGCACCGTACCTTATAATCCAAGGTGGCCAAGCAATATAAGATTTTTAGTAAGTGTCATTGTTAGTAAAGCGGACACTAATACCCGTACTAACTCGTAGATTGATCCGAGATCGAAGACTTAATTCTGGGATTGACAGAAAACGTCACCAATAGTTGATATAATGGTAGATTCATGCGCAAATGATCGATTATAACTGGTTGTTTATTTAAGATAGTATTTGCTAATCTAGTTTCATGAATCCCGTCTTGATTCTTGACGGGCATAAGGGTCGGTTGTATAAAGCAGATTAAACCTCGTTTGGATTATATCAATGGGTTAAGATACCTAATTGGTTGAAGTTTGACAAAACGTCAAATTTTAACCATTTTTATACCTTAATCCAGTTGTTAACTACAAGCGAAGTTCAACCAGCCTTTATACAATCAGCCCTAGTTATTGTTCGCTTTGTTTGACTAAATGTGAAATTTAAGAATCGCGATATTCATTAATCTTTTACCGTTCAACCACATGATATTACTATATTAAGCCTAATGATATCAAAGTATAGATCAAAACTAATAAACCAGTAATAGTATATTACGCACCGAGTGCGAAAGTAGGTTATTTTTCGAAGAATCGTTAATCACCCGAGGCGCGCAGCGCCGAGGGTGATTATTTTCTGAGAAAAATAACCTTTCGACGAGGTTCGTATACTATTTTATTCACGAGCATCATTATCATCATTTTTTTAACAAAATTCCAATAAAAGTACAAATACACGTAATTCAAATCATCGTAAGCGCCATCTGCAAATTAATGGCCTTATTAAAAGCATTGCCGATAATACAGATTCGGATATTATAATTAATATTCAAAGCTAGATTCAAAGTTTGAAATGTCTGATAACGAATTTACTTCTACACCCCCTGAAATAAGGGAAATTGCCGATGGGACAGTAAAAAAT